TCGATATATTGATTTACTTACTGTTTAGTAATAATAGTATGTTGTGGTAGGATCAAGTATTGAGGAAATTATGTCCTTATCCCACATAGTATAGTGAAGTTTATCGTGACTTATATTTAGTCAGATTTGTTGGTGTGATGAACAGGGAATTGTTGAACTTTTAATAAAGGTCATGTGTATAGAACATGTATTAAAAAACAAGCTGATCTGATCTTTTCATATATTTCTACTGTGAGAAAAAAAGAATTTTATTTTCATCTCTTCTTTCCTCTCCACTCTTACTTCTTTTAATTAATCAAATACATTTTGTCCTTGTGATATAACTAGTAGGCCTAGTATAATTTTTATTCAATGATGAACTAAATGGAAACCTGGGGCAAAATTATTATAATACAGGTATATATAGGCCTATATTATATGATATAATATATGTCATCCTCCTTTTGACCTGATCACCTAGTGATACTAAAACTAGTGAAACTGAGAGTGAGAGGGTGGTTGGCAGATGCTCAGGTGTAATATGCTCTTTATTTCCTCTATTAAACATCTATCGACCTTATCTCTACTCCTTTTCTTTGCATGTTACTCTGTAGCAACACTTCTAATCTTCGGCACTTATATATACTAGCTGGGCCCCCTTTTGATGAAAGGAATGATCGGTGCATTAACGTCAGCCGAAAGTCATTGGCTTATTTATGATATTTACATTCTACCGAAATGGAGCAAATATTGAGAGATGTTAGATCTATACTCTCAAAACAGTGCGCACGGTTAGTGAACGGAAACCTCCTTTTCTAAAATTACAAAGCGTCGGCCAGCAAAAGCGATCAGCGAAATGAAGAAATTTATTAAGAAGGGCGTCATGAACTGGAGAATATTTTTTTAAATCTTTTGGCGGAAACCGCATGTTGATCGATGCAGCCATTAAAAAGCCTTTTGAATAGCAAAATTCGGCCACCACAAATAGATAATAGATAAAAATTATAAACATATAATTTTAACATAAATTACCTTTTTGTGTTACAAGTGCCGTAAAAATCTTAGAAAAACTAAATCGGACTACAAATATTAGGGCGCTCCGTAGCCCAGTTGATATCATGTTGGACTACCGAGCAGATGGCCCTGGCTTGAATCCCAAATTGGACATTCTTGAAGTCAGGTTTTGTGGATCTTTTCAAGACTCTCTCTGTGGTTTCAATTTTATGCACCCCGCATAATTTAGCAAAATTTGATCTTTTTTTGCATAATTTCTGATTATTTTCCTTTATCTTTCACAATTAAAATTAACAGAATCGCATAATTTCACATTTTTGGGCTCAGTTTGCATAATCTCAGAATTTTTCTTGCATGAAACGACGGGGACAGCCTTTTGGCCCTGTCCTGTAGTAGGCGACAAGTGGAATGTGGATGCCCCATTAATAAATAATAGTGTTGATAGGGGTGTTTATTAACCCACACTTACCTTACATTTTTTTGACTGATACACTGAAAGAAGTAGAAATAGAAATTTATTATCAGGACGGAGGTGAGTCACACCTGGAAACTCATGAGACCCGTAGTCCACACTTTTACTTTTAACTGTACCAGACCAGGGACAGTTCTGATACAATTATGAACGATATTAGACAATCAAGGTTCACCTCTCAATTTCCTGGGTTTGGGTGCTCTAAAAAAATTTTTAAAGCCTATCAACTACTGGGTATCAACTATCATACCACCAGTGTCATTAAGTCACACTAACTGTGAAATTTAATTCCGTTATCTTTGCTTCGATTCATAATTAATGCACATTCACATTCAATTTTTTATACAGACCTTCGCATTACATCTCTACGTTGTCCAACTCTACTACATGTATTACTAACTCTACCTGTGTATCCACGCGATTAGGTCAGACTTGTAGGCCTACTACACTTGTCGTACTTGTGGGGGAAGAATAATTTCTTTACTATTTATTTAAATTATTATCTATTATAAATTAGGCCTATATTATACTATATAAGTATATATAGTAGCCTACCTCCCACCAATTGTCATTGTGGTTGTGAACCTAATTTCAGACAAAAGAAGTGTTTTTACCTTCTATTTATAATGCAAATGATCAGGTGCACAATCAATCAGAGCCAGAACCGACGATGGTATTGGTACTGTACACAGGGTAAATCAAATCTCAGAGACTACAATTAGTGTGTCATATGTACGGTACGTGGACTGTTGGGCTCATTCCCACTGGCGACATTATACTGTCCCCGTGATTTTATGATTTTATGCACCCTGCATAATTAAGCAAAATTTGATAATTTTTTGCATAATTTCTGATTATTTTCCTTTATCAATATAATCATTCTTTGTTAAAATTAACAGAATCGCATAATTTCACATTTTTGGGCTCAGTTTGCATAATTTCAGAATTTTTCTTGCATGAAACGACGGGGACAGATAATGATAGGCTACTACAGTAATCATAAAATGGTAATGCTGGCCAATTCCCAGATGAGGAAGTTTTTTCATCGAGTATCTCTTTCATCACCCGAGTGTCTGGTCTGTCTGCTTGGATGTTGTATCCCACTCATCCCAGAGTGACAGTGACGGACATGGTAGTTGAAGCAGCCAACTCCCTCATAAATCTACTACTAATTTAATGTGTCACGATGCGGTGGAATCAGGCGCTCATCATTTTTTGGTTATGTGGCGTTATTGGTATTATCTGAAATCCTATTAATTTGCCTTGCTTTTAGTTAAAAGTAAAGAATACTCGACCAATCTTGAATAAAAGTTGAGATATTTTCAATTGAAGGGCGTGGGGTCTTCTGGTCTCAGAGGAAAAATACAGATGGAGGTGTGTAACACTCATAAAATCGAAGTCAAAAGCTCTGCATAGATTAATTTCCATTGTTTTCTCAATTAACTCAACAGTCTCATCTTCTACTAGAGGTACCTCGCTCATTTTCATGAATTAATTGGAAGTTTTAGTAACAGTTTTACGGCACTTGCAACACAGTAAGGACATAATATAAGTGTCGAAGAATAGATGTGTTACAAGAGAGTAACATACACAAAAAAGGAGGAGGAGAGATAAGGACGATAGATGTTTGATAGGAAAGAAGGAGCAAATCACACCAGTGCACCCGCCAAGGACCCACATGAGTTTATTGGAATTCACAGGGGAAGTAAGGAGAGAGATCATGGAGAAGGCCATGCAGAGTCTGGAAAAGAGACAAAAGAATGATGTACAGAAAAGGGGGAAAGAGAAAGAATAATCAGGAGGCAAGCCCAGGATTGGCAAATGTGGAAAGTGTTCAAGTTCAAGGCTTCTACTACTACCATACCCTGATCCTGGGTGGGAAAGGCATTGATGAAGATAGTATCGTATTGATAGTGTGGTGGTAGATAAGTCATTAACTTCCACTTCCATATTATCTCATCTGAAAGTAGGTGCCACAGACTGGGCCGCCTGGGCGGTGGAAAACTTGGAAAATGAACTTTTTGCGTCTCACTTTGGCATCTTGTATAAAAGATTTTTCTGGCATGTTGAAAAAAAAATCCAAGAAACCAGTCACTTAAGTCACGTGGGTTTTTATTTCAAATTTAAAGCATAGCACCACAGACGCATTCTGCTACGGTACATGACATCATGTTCCACAGTACATAACTGTACTGCCACTACTACTAGTACTACTACGCTGCTCTTGGCACGAGGTAGTGCTGCCTCTCCGACACCTCCGTTAGCAAAAGTACGGTAGGCCTAGTTTGAAGTCACGTGTAATGTAAAGAGACATCTGCTTTACCCTGTTTTAAAATGTAGGCTTATTTTATGTTCCCATCCCATAATTTAGATAATTTGGGAGGTGGGCTTCTTACCCTGACTGTCTGGGCCAAACCAGGCTGAGAGGGATGCAATATCCCAGCAGAAAGAGCAAATCCAAGATACTCTATAAAAATTTGTGAGGCAGCGTGGTGAAATCAGGCATTCAATAAAAAGGCCCAACATATGTCATTTTTTCAGTTTTCAAGTACTCTTTCTTTAGCTATTGGGAGTTACCAGTTACCAAACTTTTGCGGCCATTTTCTCGCTAATTTTACCACTGAAACCAGGCGACCTCACTTCCTTCAAATGCAGATATCTTGTGTTATATTCAAGATTAATAAATTTTTATTTCATTGGTAGCAAGGCAAATATATCAGCTTTCAGATGATACCAATAACTCCACATGCCCAAAAATTTACGAGCGCCTGATTCCACCTCGCCATGACACATTTTATCCCTACTTCGGTCTCCAGCCTGCAACAGCTCCTAACCACTACACCACAGACACCCGTTTTTAAATCAATTTGAAGCATCAATTCAAGAAATTGAGGATTCGATCCTGTTGCCCACACTTGCATTGGACAGAGTGCTGAAAGATTAGTTTTTAGAGTTAAAAAATCAGCGCATGGCCGTGACTTGCGCGTTGACCATACAGTGCTGAAAAGTTTGCGAGCGCCTTCCTTTATCACGAATAAAGAGAAGCACATCAACACAATAACAACAAATATACATTGGAAGAAGAAAGATGAACAGAAAGAAGCAAACAAGATTGGGTTTTGAGTCTGGAGTAAGGAGAAGCACATCTACACAATAACACATTGGAAGAAGAAAGATGAACAGAAAGAAGCAAACAAGATTGGGTTTTGAGTCTGGAGTAAGGAGAAACACATCGACACAATAACACATTGGAAGAAGAAAGATGAACAGAAAGAAGCAAACAAGATTGGGTTTTGAGTCTGGAGTAAGGAGAAGCACATCGACACAATAACGATCATATAGTACCATAGTAGTAGTAGTAGCAGTACTAATGGTAGTAGTGCAGGGAAGAAGCGAGGCAGATCATTATCAGAAATAACTTAGGGAAAGAAAAGAATATATACATAACTATAATCAGCTGGAAGTCTCACTCTGTGGTGTCACAGCTAAGTTACAGACACACAAACAGAAAACAAAACCAATTGAAGGCAGTGTGTACATTTCAAAATTTGTATTAAAATAATTGTTTTTTGGTTCAGCTTTTTTGCTTTCAACATAAGTACATGCATCTAGTACTGTGTAACAATTTTTTTATACTACATACTGTATGTACAATATATACACAATGTTCACAAAACAAATTATACAAAAAATAACCAAGGTTTAAAGTCGATTCCATTCATGAACATGGTAAAATGAACTCTATTCCACTCATCTTTTTCATTCTTTTTTTTATAATGTACAAAATCTTTCACTTTACTATGAACAAATGAACAGTCCAAAAACATATTTCCACTAGCCATTCAGAACATTATCAAAGGAAACTACACAAAAATGTTAATGAACTATCACCATTCTCACAACTTTCGCCACTGCTTTAGCTTAGCTTACTTGAACAGTCTTAACTTACCGACAACAATCTTACAACCCCTTGCAGAGGAAAACTAACGGGCCTCACAACAAAAATTAGTTCTATAATTTTTTTTTCATACCGTAAAACTGATAATGTTAACTTTTAAAAAATCCTTTTTTATGACTAATAATAATGACATGTGTACAAGAGCTAGAATAAAGGATATTAGCAGCATTTAGAGATGGCAATAACAAGGTGCCAACATGTCAGGGGTCAAGACTTACGAGAGTTCCCCCTTTCTGTCTTTCTAAAACACACATAGAGGAAAGATAAAAGTGAGGCACTGTGTGGAAAGTCGTCTTGCGGAGACCCTGGAACAGTCACTTCCTGTATGGGCAGAAAGCTGCAAAGATTTTCCACAGAATCAAATACATACATGACAATCATGCAAGCAAACAGATGTGGTAAACCAGGGCTGAGTAACCTCTACAAAATTACTGACCACCGAAATATCCAAGGAAACATAACTTGTGAACAAACAAACGCAGTCTGCAATTTGAAATAAAGCTGCCAAAAACTGCAGATTATATGAAAATGATATGAGGGGTGGGGGATGGGAGTGGGTATTAACTTTAAACAAATGTTCCAAAAACTTTTACCAAACAGCACGAGCCTTGCTGAAGAAGCAGCGGCAGTGACAGTAAACAGAGACACTCAGCCCTGGAGTGGAAAAACCTTTGTACCAGTCTACTCAGGCAGGCATGGACAGCTCCGGGCAGTCTTCCGTCAACTTTCAACACACCATAATTTTCTTCTGAAACAGAACACTGAAATGTTAGTCCCCTCCATCCCTCCCAATCACATTCACCCAAGTCAAGTAGAAGAAGAAGAAAAAGTCTGGCATGTTAAAAGATCCTTGCAGTCTGCTTGGAGAAAAATAAAACAAGTTTTTTTTCCTACACACAATATTTGAAGTAAGAGAAATCTATTCGTGTTCAGAATAAAAGAAATACAGCCATGGCAATGTCTAACTTAGTGAGCATAACTTCGTAGGACGCGAACAGAGCTCGGCAGTCCTGCTCATGAAACATGAAGCAAAAGTCACTAGCCGACACACAAACACAAGTTCTCTCCAATTCTGACATGATGTGTTTTGAAACAAAAGGTCACTATGCTACAAGATAACTCAGCATGCTCTTCGTGTTAGAAATCTCTCTCTTTACAAGTTAGTGCAAGGACAGAACGTCATGATAGCCTACAATCCTGTACACATAATGTGTGCCGTTTGTGCTGCAAAAACATAAGGCACTACTACCCCCATGATTTTGACACCACCATACAGCTTTCTTTTTTCTTTCTCTCTCTCTGTCTGAAACCCAAAAATAGAACCATGACTTTAGTTGCACAACTGCCCTATGACAGTTCATGGACTTGAAGAGATGACCCTACAGCCCCAAATCCAGTCCATCTTGACACAGACAGTATGGCAACTGAAATAAAAAAAAACTTCTGCAGAGAACTGAAATATACAAAGGAACTGCTAACATGCCAGGGCAGAGTACTTTCCATATAAACAGAGACAACAATACCTATTCATTACATATTGCATCTATTCAAACCCTTCCTCACCCTTCTTGAAAGAATAGGACTTCACCAATATAATTAACAGTAGCACCGATAGCATCTAATATTTTAGCTGCTAATATCCTTTTACAATCTCAACTGCAACAAAAAAAAGTACAAATAAAAGCCAATTGTCTTAAAGATTTCAAACAAAACAAATATAAGGAAATTATGGCAATACGTAACTTCAAAATTTTGTGAACTTTTGGGGAAGAAATCCTACAGGTGTAAAGGGTCATACATCACCAGCTACAAAGCTCTTTTTTTCAAAGGTGTCAAATCAAATCATTTTCTCTTCCAAGCAAGACATCACAGCAGACTTCATTCGTTAAACTACTACAGATTATTCTTTAGAAAAATTCTAACGGAACCCAGCAAGGGGGACAGGAAATTTTGTTTTGTTTCAGTAGAGGTTTTACGGCGCCTGTAACAGCATTAAAGATCATATGAGCACCAGAAGATTAGAAGTGTTACAAGAGAGTAACAAACATAAAAAAGAAGAAGGGGGGAGATAAGGATGATCAAAGTTTGGCGGAAAGAAGGATCAAACCACACCAGAGCACATACACAGGAAATTTAACGCAAAGATAGTATGGTAACTGTACAGTAAAAAAGGTAATGGGATTTCTTCGATACCTCCCGAGGGCCTTCCACCCAATACCGGGGGTTTTATCATCAGGAAATTCTCCCATTGAGTCATTGAGTATAACCTTGGGACTAAAGTTCATCTTAAACTTTAAACCAAAAAAGGACAGAGACTCGTTGCAGTCTTGTGTCTGAAGTGCTTACTTGGTGTTTCCAAGTCACTAGATGGCACTACCGGAAGCAACAGTAGGTGGGTTGTTGTTGTTTTTTTGACATTGCAAGGCCAAAACAAAAGTCACACCTCTTTTTCCAGCCAACCTGTGACAGGGGAACCAGGCAAGCACAGTTTTTACTTTACCACAAGTTTAAGGACGGTGTCCATCATACAATACCTTCTAACTTACACACCCAAACCTTTCTTGGAAGCTTTCGCAGAATCACAACAGCCATAAAGGTGCAAGAGCTGTGTGCAACTCCCGAACCCTCAACCTCTCTTCTCTTCACCATTCTTCTAATGCACACCTGTGCAACGCCAAATCCAAAGCTGTCAGATAAACAACACAGAAGGAGTGTAAGTTCAAAGAAGAACTCCACCGTGAAAAAACATTGTCTTCACAAATTGGTGCACAATCAAGTGCGTAAACAATAAAAGACAGATATTCAGCACCACATGAACACACTCTAGATTCATATAACATCAAAAAAGAGAAGAAAAAAAGGCACAGTTTGCATTTTAAACTTTAAGACTCCATTTTCATTTCGCAAAGTTTGGAAAATTAAAATGAAAAAAAAAAAAAAAGAGCAAAACTAAATAGAAATGTAACATCTCACAGTGAGGAAGCTGTATTTTATACAAACATATCTGTACCAGTCAAGAAAAAAACCCAAAACAAATAAAATGCTCTAATTTAGAGAGCAAAAGTAGAATAAAGTATTGAACTGTTACAAGCACTAAAGGTGCGAATTAGAAGACAATACCTTGCCAATAACTGGGCCATACGAATCACTAACGGCATTCATAAACATTCTAAAACTAGAAATTTTCAGCAGGAAAATGTTCCAATCTGAAGCTGACAGCAGATGTATCTCTCCTCCCCCCCCCCCCCTCCCCCAAACATCTTATCATCACCCCATTTCAATTTTGAAACCATTGCATTAAGATTCAGCTGTCAGAAAGGACCAATTTCCAATACAAATTTTACAAACAAATATATTATCTTACCAAAAAATACACTATGACGCTTGAGCCCCACGCATACCAATCAGCAAACGACAATTTGAGAAAGGAACACTATGGAACAAAGCAAAGAAGATGGGTGGCCAGGACCTAGAGAATGGAAAAAATTACACGTTAAAACATGTCATAAAAAAATAAATTACGTCCCATACATTGAAAACGGAATCATCATGACAAAAGACTTCAATCATTGGTCAAAATCTTTTCTGCGGGTCACTCTTTCACTTGGTGTTGACGGGCAGTCTCCAGACTCCTCTCTCCTCTTGGTCACTGCAAACCGTTCACGATCAGCAGCTTGTCTTTCCAGGGCGAAGTTTGACATAGTGCAATGACAGCAACTGTTCACAATGCACTATACGTCAGGTGGAAACCAGTCCTGTGTTTCTGCCTATATACACCAGTCACATAGATTTGTCACTGAACCTGTACAATGCTGTACAGGAACCTGAAGCTGTTTCTGCTTCACAGGCAATAATATCACTTTGGCTATTTCATTTACACTCTAACAATACTGCTCACAAGGCATTGACACGCCCGTGAGTTTTGTTCGCTAGAGATGCACAGTGAGCACAGAATTCTAGACATGCCTCACCATCACTGACATGCAAGCACACACCAGCTTTTTTCAAATTTTCATTGACAAGACGAGCACGTTTTTGAGGGCAACTCTCAACCATATTGTAACTATGATCATCATCTCCACTTCCACTCCTCTTTCTCCCTGTAATGTTTGCCGATAATTTAACTTCCTTCACATTACTGATATTCTTCAGAAGTCCTGACAAAGCACTAGCATTAGCAAGAACAGATTTCAGGTAGTGAACCTCTTCTTTGAGACTGGACATTTCAGACTTCATTTGACAATTTTCAGTCTGAAGGTCCCTGTTCTCTTTCTTTAAAATTTCAAGGTCACTTTCAAGCCCTTGAATGTAAGCCTTCTTTTTCTCACGGTTGACTTTGGCCTGACGAGCATTCTTTTTGGAGCGCTCATCAAGAGCTTTCATAATGTCATCTGCACTTGCATCAGCACCACATGCAGGTGGTTTCAGTACTCTTACTATCTTAATGTCACTACCCGATGATGAAAAGGTTGATGGATCTTTGAAGTAGTTAAGCGAACTTGACCCTGCCTTGCTCTTAGTGTTTTGCACTTCATCAGAGACAGAACCTTCACTGTCTGATGATTCAAAATCTACTACATTAACTTTCTTTGACACACACTTCCTGACTGGCCTGTCTGATGTTGATTGTGTGGCAACTGATGGATTTGGGTGTTTGAGCTGGCTTGTATTCGCTCCTGGCAAACACACCTTTGGATAAGTATCATTTTCAAAACCTTGCTCCCCTAAAAGATACGCTGCCAAGTCTTCACCATCTATACCAGCATTATCCACATTTTGGTCAAAAGTGGGCAAAATCAGGTCTGGGTCCACAGCCATTTCCTCCATACTAGAATTTCCAATGGGACTTCCAGCAAAGCTGATGGTGTCGGAGACGCCACTGTCAGACTCGTGCCAGGGTGATTTTGAAGACAAAGATCCGGACATCATCACTGGTTGGACACCTTCCTGTATAACAATTCCACTCTTTCCGTTAACATCTTTATCAAAACTAGACATATCATCAAAATTGAAAGGTGTTTTGCCAAGTTTAACATCTTCACCCATTACAGCAGAAGATGGAGGCACCCTGTCATCTAAAATATCATCGACATTAAAAAGCTGGTCCCACTCATTCACTTCAAAAGGAGTATACAACTCCATCTCTGCACTTAGGTAGGCGTGTGAAGATAGTTGAACTTAGAGGTATGAACTAGATTCTAGATCAAGAACCTGGAGAGACTAGGAATAAGGCCTCTAGAACACACGGATATTGTACACTTACTAGATCTAGAGGAGTGTACTGTGGGGTGTAGACCCACAGGTTAGCCTCAGCCTCGACAAACTTCTTCACTCTCACTTTGTTGTAGATTCTAGATTCTAGAGCCTCTTTTCTTCGGTCAAAATATCAAGCACAATCACACACCTCTAGCCTGCAGGCAAGGACAGTCCTAAGGTTACTTCAAATTATCTTTGGAATTTAAAAAAAAACAAAAAACGATTTAAATCAATTCATTCGATAGACACGACGACTGACCTAACTGGCAGCAATTACCCTGCTTGAGGCTGAAGGATAGTCAATGGCTGACGAAGACAGTCTCCGTCTAACTCGGTAAATCTTTCAAATTGTGTTACACAGCTTCACTTAGGCCTAGAAACTAGGCAAAATAACAAATATTAACACAAAAATCTGAAACAAAGTCATAGAATACACTTGTACTTGTAACTTACACGAATAAAATGGGGGAAATGGAAAAACAGCGTTCTTCTTGACAGGCACACAGACACACTGCTAACGTTCGCACTGTCAGATCAGAGAAGTATTGAATTGTAGAATGGACGGTCGGTCTCAATTAAAATACGAGAAAATCACTCCGCGAGAAGAAACGTTGGGCTGACGTTCGCTGAATCCGCTGAATAAACGTTTTCCCTGTGATTCTCATTGGAAGATCGAGCGTCCTATTTAAAGACTATGCGTAATATTCTATTTTTAGAACCTTAGTCGCGATCATGTGACTGATCGTCGGTCTTACGTTTTCGTATCACAGCTTATCAACCGTATCCATCCGCTTAAGGAAAATTAAAGAACTTAATCCTTGTATTTAGTATTTTCTAAGAATAGCCTACTAAGACAAAGTCTAGGCTAGGCCCTAGGTAGGCCTACTTTGGATAAACTGTATAAATTTCGAACCATCCAAAGATTGCTTATGAACTTAACATTAACATTAGATCCGATCGAATTAAGCAAAAGTAGATGCAATAAAATAATAACAAAGCAAAACAAAACAAAAAAACTATTGCAAGCTCAACAGGAAAGAAAACTTTGGGCTGCAATATCAAAGTCACGAGTCACGAGGGCTCGATTGTTTAGTCTTTGTTTTATTTAACGCTGATAAAATACTGCAGAGTCTTAATATGTTTAAGTTTTAAGTCACTTTTACTGGCCCAGAGGTTTCGTAGGCCTATTTATTGTTTCCTTATCATTTCATTTGCCAAACAAAACGACAGAAACCATTGTTCCCCGCTAACTGCTTGACACACTCGGTTTCTGATTGTTGGGGTTGGAGTGGGTGCGGGATGGGG